TTACATAGGTATAGTTTATATATATATATGTTGTTATGAGTCACAGGCAACTCAATGGCACATGACAACAGCATAACAGTATGTTACTGTGTACCACTGAGTCAGAACTGACCCATAGCTGACCTTCTAGTGAGTTTTCAGAAGCAGTTAACCGCTCGGGAGGAGATTACCCTTCCTTCTCCCAAAAAACAGCTGATATGTTAGAACTGTGCACCTTCAGCCTTCACAACTGCCACCTTCTTATCACTAGGCCACCACAGTTCCCTTAACTCTATCTATCTATCTATCTATCTATCTATCCACACACACGCACAAAATAGACATACACACACATGACATACACACACACATAAAATAAGCCTACCATTATAATTATTGGTTTTCCCACTTTAGGATCCGCTGATGTTGAATTCTTGGGCTTAAGACCATAAATAATTTTGTGACCTAGTGGGTAAGGAGTTGGACTTCCAAACCAAAATTAAATGGTTCACATCCACCAGCTGCTTCTTGGAAGAAAGATAAGCAGTGTCCTCCTATGTGTATAGTCGTTGAAAACCCACTGGAGGGTCAGCGAGGAGTTGGTTTAACTTGACAGCAGTACATTTTTGAGATATTAATACTAGTAAGTTGAGCACCAATTCCTTACATAATAACAACCCTACGTGTCTGACAGTACTTTTGAATCCATGGTATCATATGCTATTCAATAGTTCTTTGAACCTGGGGCTGTGTTCCCTTCAGCTGGGCAACAGGCTCAGAGAAGGTGATGACTTATCAAAAAGGTCACAGTGGGGCCACAGCAGAGCTTGCTGGCCTCCTCCCCAGTCTTCTCTCTCTTTTATCCCCAAACCCCCAGGACTTGCCGGAGCAGCCTTACTTGCAGCCCCCAGTCAGCATCCTGGTGATTGAGCGCCGGGCCTTTGGCCGCACAGTTCTTGTGGGTTCCCACATTGTCACCCACATTCAACGGTTCACATTCTGGGGTCATAAGGATCCCTTCAAGGAGGAGGAGGAAGGGAAAGAGATGCCTATGGGACCTCAAGGTAAGGGACCTCCTCTAAGAACCACTAGAGAAGAGTCTCCGCGGCTCCTGGCAGAGATGGCTCTAGGAGAACTTCCAGGGGGCACTGAAGTCTGACTTTTGTTCCTTTGACTTCCTCATGGTGTTGTTTTCCTTTCCCAGGAGACAAATCCTCGGATTCCTTCTTGGCTGAGGAGGGGTTACCTAGAAAGCTCCTCAAGGTTATAAGAGTGTGGATGGCAGGAGAAGGGACTGATGAGCTGTGGGGTGTGCTGGTTAGGAGGGCTGATTCATTCATTCCCTCAGGCTCCTCTGAAAAAGCTCCCCCTGAGAGGCCTCCTGAATCAAGGCCCTGAATTCGAGGAGGACATCCCAGATCCTGAAGAGCTGGACTGGTGGTCCAAGTACTATGCATCGCTGCAGGAACAACAGAGACAGGTGGGGGACAGGAGCCCCTCAGGGTGAGGGGCTGGCAGCAGAGAATGGTAGATGGCAAAACTGATCTCATCAGATGTGGCGTTTTTGTTTTCTCTGAGCTCTTCATTATAGATAACTTTTTTAGCCTTACACCAATTCTAGAAACTAGAGATTTATTAATTCCATTATCTAGAGTTGTGTGGTGGGTAAGGAGTTGTGTTTCCAACCCAAAGGCAAACAGTTCAAATCCAAGAGCTGCTCTGTTGGAGAAAAAGAAGCTTTCTCCTCCTGGGTGATTTACAGTCTCTGAAAATCCATTAGAGGGTCAGCTCTGAATTGGTTCTGAATCAACAGCAATGAATTTTGCTGCCCAGGATAAATATAACATGAGCCACCTTTATAATTGACAATTCTGTAGTAGCTACATTTTTTTAAAAAGCTTTTACTTTTTAAATTAATTTTTATAATATACTTTCCCTTTCTTTCATATATCTAAAATATTGAACAAGATTTGAGATACTTTACATTCTTTTTCTTATACTAAGTTTTACAGTACCTTTCAGTTCAGAAGATCCACACTTCAAGGTGTGGATTAATCACAGGAGCTGGTGGCTACCATAGCAGACAGGACGGGACTAGAAGGACTATAAGATAAATTGTAGCTTTGAAAGCTGTGCAAGTGACATACATAGCTGGAACTAAAGCTTCCCAGCTTATTATCCTGCAAAACAGATAGATTAAAGAGGTAAAAGAGATGAGGAGGAATTTCTAATCTGTCCTTTGATTTCAGCCAAACTTTGATGAGGATGAAATGGATGATCCTGGGGATTCAGGTAAGAGATCGCACTTTCTTGCTCCTCTCCTCTTTTCCCCTAGATATTTCTAACTGGGACATTTCTGCTTATCCCAGATGGAACCAATCTCATTTCTGTGGATGAGGAAGCCCAAGACCAGAGTGAGGCTGAAGCTGAGGGTCCCATGCCCCACAAAAAAGCAATTACTACCCTAAAGGTAACTTAGTGGGTGTTGGGAAGAGGGGAGTCCCTTTGGAACTGATCTCGTTGAGGGCTGTCATTACTGAGATCTTCGGCTTTCAGATCTACAACCGAACGCTGGAGGAGGAGTTCAGTCACTTTGAAGATTGGCTGCGTGTCTTTCCCCTCTACAGAGGGCAAGGAGGCCAAGATGGAGATGGAGAGGAAGAAGGATCTGGACACTTAGTTGGAAAGTTCAAGGTGTGTTTACAAAAGGGAAAAAAAGGCCCTAGAAGCACAGGTGTTTATTTGAGAGGAAGACTCTGCCTTTCTCTCAAGGCCTTTTCTTTCACCCCTACTTCTAGGGCTCCTTCCTCATTTACCCTGAATCAGAGGTACTGTCACAGTCTAGGCCTCATATTTCCCAGGGAATCCCACAGAACCGGCCCATCAAGCTCCTGGTCAGGGTTTATGTTGTGAAGGTGAGCATCTGTAGCTCTGGAGAGTCTCCAACTCTAGCACATTCTACTACTGCCGTGGATTGAGGGGGAACTGGGTGGAAATCGCCCCTAGGAATTCATGATCTCAAGCTGGTCTAACACAGTATTGGACTGAATTCCCACCATCTGTATGAAGGTTCTCAAAACATCAACTGGGAAATTAAAAGTGGTTTCAAGTAGGTAGTTCACTCAGGAAACTGGCAGCAACAAAAGCAAACCATTTCTGGTAGAGGACATCCATAATTTATGCCTTCAGGATTCCAACTGCTTAAGTCAATTATGAGTCATGATAAAAAGTACAAAATATAAGGAAACAAAAAAATACAAAAAAATAAGGAAATAAGTAAGGATTAGAAAAAATAATAAATTTAGAATGTTAGGAGTCTGAACTGCTATTGGATATAAATATTAAAATGACTAAGTAGCTAAATAAATGTATTTGAAATATTTAAAGAAATGGAAGAATGAATTTAAAATTTAAAAACAAGAACCAGAGAATATAAAAAGTAAACAGTGAAGAACCGTCCAAAAGGAATATATTATTAGGCATTATATATATGATAATAATCTGGAATAAGAGGTGCAAGGTGGGTTGGGTTGAGGGTGGGAATAGAATGTTCAGCAATTTAAAAAAATTATAAAAAAGGAAAAATTTGAAAGCGAATATAATATTTATAAATAAAAAATAATATACTAATATTAAAAACTCAATTATAAGGCAAAAACACTTGAAAAGTCATTTCACAAAACTACATATATAGTAAGATTCACCCACCCTCTTCATTATTTTACATTATTTTTCTACATTTCATTCTATTTTAGTGTTAGCTTTTGGTATGTCTTGTATATTTCGTAATTAAAAATAAAGAAGTAATTTTACCTAACATTTTCTGTCTGCTTCTTTCAGTAGGAGAATCTCTCCTTAGTAATTTACCTGTTTGCAAGTCATCTGAAGTTAGGGTCAGCAAAGGCAGCCTTAGGCTATGACAAGAACCAGTTCTACTTATACTTCCCCCTTAGGCCACCAACCTGGCGCCTGCAGATCCCAATGGCAAGGCTGACCCCTATGTGGTAGTGAGCACTGGCCGGAAACGTCAGGATACCAAGGAACGCTACATACCCAAGCAGCTCAACCCTATCTTTGGAGAGTAAGCCTGGGTCCTAAGAGGGAGGTGGGATATGGGGAACAATTTTACAGTTCAGTCTTGTGACCTTCAAGTATTTGGTGGGTGGCTTTGGGTAGACAGGGGTCACCAAGATCTTTGGACACTCTTAGACCGCCTCCTAGGGCATGGAGGTGTCCTCAGCCATTCTCTTTCCTGGCCAGGGTCCTGGAGCTCAACATCTCTCTACCAGCTGAGCCTGAACTGACCGTGGCCGTGTTTGATCATGACCTCGTGGGCTCTGATGACCTCATTGGGGAGACCCACATTGATCTGGAAAACCGATTCTACAGCTACCACAGGGCCAACTGTGGTCTGGCCTCCCAGTATGATGTGTAAGTTCATTATACTCCTCAAGAGCACATTCTGAGTCTCTGGCCAAACAGAATTAAGCTCCACACTCTCATTTGTACCACTCTAAGCTGTGATTTCAGAGAAGGGGATCCTCTTACAACTAACATGTAGTAGCTCAGCCTAGACTTGGGCTTGGGATTCTGCAACTAACAAGTCACTTGACTGACCCCTCTGAGCCTATTTCCTCATCCGTACAATGCAAGAATCTCTTTCATAGAAGCATTTGGCATAGGTTTTTTTTCCATTGTTGCTATGAGGACTAACCTCTGTCCACTGGAGTTAATGAACCTGGGATGTCTTCAGGAGTCTCCATCTCAGCTTTTGTCCCCATGTACTGGGCTCATCTGGGGCTTCATCCTCTTCTGTCCACAGAGATGGGTATAATACCTGGCGTGATGCATTCCGGCCTTCACAGATCCTGGCAGGGCTGTGCCAACGCTGTGGCCTCCCTGCCCCGGAATACAGAGCTGGGGCTGTCAAGGTGGACAGCAAAGTCTTTCTGACACCGCCTGAGACCCTGGCCCCAGGTACCAGCCCCTCTCTTCTGGGAAGGCCAGAGGGATAACAAGATGTGGGGAGATCAAGGTACAGGGGGCCTCCTGGTGCCCAGTCTAATATTCCCCTAAAAGGGCTAATTTACTTCTGCAAGCAGATTCTTTAATGGTAGGGGAGGACATGGTCTTCTTTGTTTAGTGCAATTTATTATTATTATTAATGTGTGTACTGTCAAATCAGATCTGACTGGTACAGGATGTGATTGTGCCTCCTTCTTCAGCAGAGCATCTGGTGGATTTGAACCGTGCACCTCTGGGATTGCAGGGCAACATCTTGCCACTAGGCCACCAGAGCTTGCCTGTTTAGTGCATTTTAACCCTCAAAAAATGGAGCAGAAAACTGGTCATCCTCAGAGTCATAGCTAACAGAGTTCTCAGGACACAGAGAACACATAACAGGATGCAAATGCAGAACTACAAACATGTACAACAGAATGTAGATGCAGAACTGAGCTCACGCCTTATAAATGGCTACTGGCCTGTTCTCTAAAGGGTCCCACCACCTTGACTGCTGGGTTCTCCCTGGGAAGAGCTGTTAAGCAGCATCTCACCCACTTTTTGTGCTTTGTGCATCCCCTCCCAGCCAACACTCCCAGTGGCTGCCTTATCTTTAGAGCAAGGATCGGTGGGAGGGGATGTGGGAGGGAAAGGAGGAGAGATGGGAACAGTATGGAACTCACATTCAAACACCCTTTGTGTCAGGTAGGGGAGGTCCCAAGATGGCAAATGAGCCCCTTGAGGAGGAACAGGCACTGCATGTACTGCGGTGCTGGCAGGAGATGCCGGAGCTAGGGATCCCACTGGTACCCGAGCACGTTGAAACACGACCCCTCTACCACCCTCGCAGCCCGGGGCTGCTGCAGGTAAGGTAGGAGCAGAACCCAACTCTAGAATCCCAAGACTCCTAGAACTCTTGGCTGATCTTGGATCTGAGCCCTTATCTTGGACTTCCACTTTCCACCCTGAACCCGCCATCTATGACTGTGGTCTTGCAGGAGCCCCACTTCAAGGCCACCATGGCTCAGATCATGGGACTTCCAGCATAGCCTCTATCTTAGATCCCTAAGATCAGAACATCAAAACACAGATCTTTTTGGATCATCTTTGATTCTTGAGGCCTCGTGCCTGAACCCATAACCTTTCCTCCCCCCATTTCAGACTCTACCTTCATCCTCAACCCCAAAATCTCCTGACTTCACTGGCTTTGCTTTTCTGTCCTTTGAGGGCATGTTGCAATCTCTGGTCACAGGGGTGTCAGGGAAAGTGGGAATACTAGTAAGCCCCTCCATCCTCTCAGGGATCCCTTCACATGTGGATTGACATCTTCCCACGTGATGTGCCCGCCCCACCTCCTGTTGACATCAAGCCTCGACAGCCAATCAGGTGAGAGTTCTGGCCCCTCCCTGAAGGACCAGGTACATCCCTGTCTACATGTACAATCTGAAAAACTGAGTCCTGGTAAACAGATAGCAGCTGCTTCCACCTGTGTTTCCTGTAGAAACTGCATTTCCCTTTTCCTCAGAAGCCATTATGAATTGGTTATTTGCTATTTGCCAGGAATAGAGTCCAAATAGATTTTTAGTAAACCCCTTACAGACATATATGAGTCTGAGTGGAGGTCTATGCAGAGTGTGCCCACTGCTGAAGACTGATCTAGATGTTGGATATAGTCTGGAATCATCCCTTCTTACTTCTGGTTTCTGCTTTTCTTGGTGGCACTCTTAAAGTGGCTGCCAGTCTGAGGACAAAGTGGTTTTGAAGAGCACCAGGCTTTCACCTCACCAACCAGTCCACTTGAGCTGCAAAACAGAAAGCACTTCTTTCTCAGTTATGCTAAGTCTAAGGGCTGATTCTGATTGGACAAGCCTGATTCAATCATCCTGGGTAGAGGCTTGGGATACATAGATTGACCAACTCGAGGTGCTGTGCCCACCTCTGGGTACGGTTTACTACAACCAGAATCATAGAGATTGACAGTTGTGGTTGGAAAGGAGTCACCAACAAAAAAATCGGTGTGTTTCCAAAATGGATGCTGGACTGGAGAAAACAACAGCTATCCAGAAAACCTAGTGACCACCTGCCAAGGGCAGGACTACTCGGGTAGAATCTAACTTGTGCAGCCCCTCCTCCTTCTGCAGGAGCTGTTTGCTCTCTTCTTGTCTCCCCTTCTACATCTCTCTGCAGACTGGCTGTCTTGGTCTACTTCTATGTACCACTCTGGTTTATCTACCACTCTGACTTAAAGTGGTTCCATCCCCTCCATCTGATGCCCAAAAACTGCACCACTCAGGATCTTAATTCTTACAGGAGACACCACCACTACGGCTGGGGTGTCAGTGACACATGGGCAGGCCCACAAATAGCCTGATCACACATTAGAGGCTCTGGCCCAGGGCTTTCCAGCAGCCCTCCACACGTCTGAACCACTCTCCCCAACTTGTTCCTCAGCTATGAGCTCAGAGTCATCATCTGGAATACAGAGGATGTGGTCCTGGATGACTTGAACCCACTCACTGGAGAGATGACGAGTGACATCTATGTGAAAAGGTAGGCCTGTGGCTGGGCCATACACTGTGCACGAATAGGGGTGGCTACAGGGGCTGGGGCCCTCAGGCTGAGTCACAACCATATCCCCTAGACCTTCTATGTGCCTGGAGCTGGGTGAAGGGGCCAGCCCTGTGGGCAAGCCCAGGGGAAGCTACAGAGGAGCCAGCTTCTGGGCTTTTCCACCTCCCACCTTGCCTGTCCCTCTCCCCTGGCCTCAGCTGGGTCAAGGGGTTGGACAGCGACAAGCAGGAGACTGACGTTCACTTCAATTCACTGACTGGGGAGGGGAACTTCAATTGGCGCTTTGTGTTCCGATTTGACTACCTGCCCACGGAGCGCGAGGTGACCGTCCGGCGCCGGCCTGGACCCTTCGCCCTGGAGGAGGCTGAGTTCCGGCAGCCGGCTGTGCTGGTCCTGCAGGTCTGGGACTATGACCGCATCTCTGCCAACGATTTCCTTGGTACTGCCCAGTCCTCCTCTAATCTCAACCCCTCCCCAACTTCAGCCCTCACTGTCCAAAGGTTTTCTACCCTCCAGCCCCACCTGAATGCCTGAGTTTCAGACTCTAGGTCATTGTTTGCCTTCCTGCCTCATTACTGCCTTGATCACAGTCATGGCCATCCACCCAAGTTTTCACCCTCTACCTGACCTAACTCAAGCCATCATGTAGCTTTAGCCAATTGATCCCAAGCCTGGGCCCTGTTTCGCTGGGCATTAATAGCTCCTTGACATTTGGCCTGTGGCTTGGTTAGTCCACAGCTGTGGCTGACCACCTTATTCAAGCTTTTAATGACCTTGACTTAGAACTGGCTGTGCTGACCTCTCGCCAGGGCCCAGTTAGCCTTTGGTCTCCTGCCTGACCCAGAGACCTCTGGACTTGCAGGATCCTTGGAGCTGCAGCTGCCCAACATGGTGCGGGGATCCCGGGCCCCGGAACTCTGCTCTGTGAGGCTGGCCTGCGATGGGGCTGGGCCTCGGTGCAACCTGTTTCGCTGCCGCCGCTTACGTGGCTGGTGGCCAGTGGTGAAGCTGCAGGAACTGGAGGATGTGGAGCGGCAGGAGGCGGCCCAGGTTGGTAAGAAGAGCCGGAGGCGGAGGAAGGGCCGGCTGGAAGACTGGGAGTTCAAAGATGCTGGTGGCAACGTGCACATCCTCACGGTGGGTGCTGTCAGGGCATGGCACTGGTTTGGGCTGGGGCCAGGCCTGAGTCTGCATTGGGGCTCAGCCTCTGTTCCTAGCCAGGCATGGATGTCTTTTTCCTAGGGGAAGGTGGAGGCAGAGTTTGAACTGCTGACTGTGGAGGAGGCTGAGAAACGGCCTGTAGGGAAGGGACGGAAGGAGCCGGAGCCCTTGGAGAAGCCCAAGTGAGTGAGGGAGGCCGGAGGCAGGGGCCTAAGGAGGGGGAGCCCAGCAGGGCCCTCTCATCTGGACACTCTCCCCACAGCCGTCCCAAAACCTCCTTCAACTGGTTTGTGAATCCTCTGAAGACCTTCGTCTTCTTCATCTGGCGGCGCTACTGGCGCATCTTGGTGCTGCTGCTGCTCTTGGCGTTGATCACCATCTTCCTCCTCCTCATCTTCTACACTATCCCGGGCGAGATCAGCCAGGTCATCTTCCGCCCTCTCCACTGACCCCTGCCATCAGGCCTGGTCCCAGCTGACCTCGGACACTTGCCTTTGGGACCAACCCTTCAACTTCTGCTCCTGGATGCTTTCTCTGCTGTGTGGGAGCTTCTACAGGAGCTAAGTGGGACTCACTGATTCCTCTAAATAAACTTACATGGATTGTGTGCTGCATAGGACCCCGGGAAGAGAAGAGATGCTCTGGGTGACCACAGGGGCTGGGGGTTTACTGGATGAAAGCTGCTCGCATGCCAGCTTCAGGGAAGAGCAGGGCCAGGGTTCAGAGTCGAGGATGGTGTTTCTGTGTCTGCTAGGCAGTCCACCTACTGCTCTCCATTACACCCACCTTTCTGCTTCTGTCACTGCTAATGGCTAGGCCCCTAACATCTACTCTGCTCGTGGCTTCTGTCAACCCGTGACAGCTAAGAGCTTTCTATTACTTCTTCATCTTGCTTATTTCCCGTTAACTGATCACTAGAAATAGAAACGGATTTTGATTCCAAGTGGTAGAAAAATCAAATCAGCCTTAGCAAAGAGGGAGTTTGTCAGCTGTATGATCAGGGCTTGGCTGGTGTCAGGTACAGCTTGTCACCAGCTTCAGATGATGTCTTCAAGAACTGTAGCTCTTGGCTCTGCTGTCTCTATTTGTAGACAAGATTTCCTCTGGAGGTGCAGAGAAAGGAACTCCAGACCTTCATCTGCCCACGTTCACACCTACAAGAACAAGTTTTCCTGGTCCTGACACAGCCTGGCTCATCACAGCGGGTCTCTGTGGCCAGGGGAAAGGGAAATGATGACTGGAGCACTGTTCTGGTGTTGAAGGTGGGAGATCAACTCTCCCTACAATTTCTATAAACTGAGCAGATTGTGAAGTTGGGATTCAGTCCATGAGGAAATTCACGATACTGCTAAAAAGGGAATGTCTCCTGGATGACCAATGCTTGATTCCTGACTTACTGATGAGACTGACGCCCACAGGAGTAATATTAAATATATCCAAGGTCACACAGCTGATAAAAGATCAAATTAGGGCTGGATTTCAGGTCTGTCTACAGAGGTTTTGCTGCTAAAACAGATGGAGTCACCACAAGTAGGAACAAACTTGACAGCAAGTGGTGAACCCTATTCTTTCTGCCACTCCTGTTTCTCACACGACTCTTTCGTACAGTGTATTCCCTGAGAGACAGTTGGTTGACTCCCTGGGCTGGGTCTAAGTTCTCCACATACAGAAAGGCTGTAATAGGAAGGTTTGGTGCTAGCCCTGCTCCCGATGGCCTGTGACCATCGCTCCCCTAGATTTTTAGTTGTCTCCGCCAAGGAGACTGTGAGGATGCAGTGGATTCCCTTCTGCGCCAAGAGCGCACACTGAGCTTTGGCACAGAGCCAGTCAGGTGCATGAGGAGGTAGAGTGACTGAGTCCAGGTGGCGGAGAGGGGTTTCACTTTTAGCCTTTATCAAAGATGGGACAAGACCAAGTTTGAAGCCATGGAGCAGAACATTTAGGGGCCTCCAAATCATGGTCCCAAAGAGCTCAGCCAAGAAAGGCCTGACTGGGCCCCAAAGGCCCCAGCAGAGAAAGGGTTGAGGACAGGACTGGCAGTGGGATATGAGAGGGAGCACCAGTCCTGTTACATGAAGCCTGACTAGCCAGGTGATGCCCATCAAGGGCTCCCAGAGGGCACCTGGGCCCTGCTGCGATGAGTCATGTTTGCCTTCAACTGTGGCTGTGATGAGGGGGTTTGCAGGCCCCCACTGCACCAATGACTGCTAGAGCCCCAGAGATCACACAGAGACCAGTAGTACTATCACAACCAACAGATTTATCAACCTGGGGCTGGGGCGACTGAGGAGGGTGAGGGAGGGTGGGATGCTGGAGAATAGGACCATGATGCCAAAAATAAAAAATAAGAGGGAACAACACAGGGGTTAAGGAGCAACTAACTACGTTGTCTTCCCGAGATCAATTTTCTTCTGGATTGCTCGTGCCGAGTGATAGATTAGCGAATCAATGAGTCCAGCCACTGAGGAGAGAGACAAGGGTTGGCTATGGCCCTGGCTTGACCCTGGGAATGCTGTAACCCTACTGGCCAGGCCAGCATCTCCCTTTGGTACTCAAGGTGCCCTGGCTCCCTCCTCCCCTAACTCACATGTGGGTCCAGGCTTTGTACGCTCCACTGTATCCTCCCACCCCCAAAATGATGTTCCTGGACACCTTACCTGTAAACATGCCCCCAATGATAGCACACACGCCTGTCAGGAAGTGTGTGAAAGACCTGGAGGGGGGAGGGGAGATTAGTGGGTACCACCTGCCCTCTGCAGACCCTGGTCCAGCCCTACCACATCCCCCTTCCTACTCTTACCTGTGCTTCTCTGTCAGCTTCACCATCATGGGTGAGAGTTCATAGAGCACAAAGACGCCGGGGAGCCCCTGGTCACCCATCAGCCCATTGGCAACCTTCTCGTGTCTGGTCACAGAGAACTGATTTGTCCTCAGCACCTGGGGTGGGAGAGGTGCCTGGGCCAGGGTCTACATTGCTCCCAATGCCCCTAGTCCTAGCCCCTGTCCCTAGTGCTATCCCTTGTCTTGGGTGCCAGAGCAAGTGGATGGAGGGAAAAATAAGGTTCCATATTCTAACTACTGCTGCAAAGCTCAGGGACCACCTCAGACTTCTCTGAGGCTTGCCACTCAACTTCCCCTTCAGTAACCACCTCTTTCCAGTTCACTGAGCCCAGCTGTGCTGGTAAGCCTGCTCAGTGGTGCCATGTCCCACATGAGACTGTGGATACAGGGATGGCACCTCTGGAGCCTCAGAGGCAGCACCAACAGCTCCTGACGGGGGCAGCTGATTTCCTCTGTCTCTTAAGTCCATGCAGCCTACCATTCTGCTGAAATGCTGCCCACAGGCCAGGTCAAGAGGAGGAGCCCTCAGTTCAGGGAAGATCATGGAGGACTAGTACGATGGACACACAGGGGCATGGAGGGATGGAGGCTGTGTGAGCAAGTGGAAAGAGCACATGCTTTGAAATCTGACAGAACCAGGTTTCACTCTGGCTGGGAGACCTTGCACAAGCCACCAGGCCGCTCTGCTCCTCAGATGATCATCCACCCCAGGGAGTTAAAAGCAGCCCCTCTCAAGAACTAATTGAAAGATCAACCTCTGGGCAGAGGATTAATATCTAAGCTCCCTGGGACTCACCTCCCCATCCACCTTCATGTACACTGTGGGTACCACCTTCACAAAGTACTGGAACATCATAGAGGCTGTAGGGAGAAGAGCACACAAGCATGAGCACCAGACAGGACTCTGTCGATGGGAGCCCCAAATCTTCACCTGGTCTACCTTCACAGGTTCGTACCTTGAGGTGCAGTGACATTGGTGTGGTCCAGGGGGTTAACAATGCCTGGGTAGTCCTCTCCAAATGACAGGTGCCGGATGTAGTGGGTCATGTTGATCTGCAGGAAACACCAGTGCCTGGGCCTCAGAGCACTCAGGGCCCTAACACTCCCCAAGTCACCAAAAGGCCCGTATTATAGAAGCAGACAGGGGCCTGGGTCTGGGGTGAGGCGGTAGGGAGATGCAGAGGAGGAAAGCAGGAACTCTGCCTGGGGGTGCCCATGGGTGCTAAGTGGAGATTCTGCTCAAGACAACTCGCCCTACTTCTATCTAGGAACCTCTTCCCAGACTCTGCAGGCTTCGGGGCTCCAGAGTTCACTGAGGTGCTGGCTTCCTTCACCCATTAGTAAACATGATGGGCACCAACCCTTGGAGGCAGGTGCTAGCTTTCCTGGAAGTCACAGACCTCTTCTGGAGATCTAGGTCCCCTGGCTCCCACTCCTGTCCTTATCCCACTGATACCAACTCAGCCACCAGAGCCAGTTTTCAAAGAGGCAAATCTAAAGATCCCACAACCCTGCTTGAAATATGTCAGCATCTTCCCACTGCTCTCAGGAACAAGATCAAACTTCTCAGGGTGATCTCTGAGTTCTGTAAAGTCTGGTCTCTGTCAACTTCTCCAGCCTCTTCTTGTGCTTCTGCCTCTACCTCCTGTATTCCTGGTTCTAGCCATCCTGCTCTTTCAGGTCCCGAGAGGTGCTGTATTCCCTCTCAACCTTGCCTGGGGTCCCCTCTTGACAAAAATGCTCGTCAACCCCATGCCCTGCCCTGAGCCTAGTTAATTCTTGTTCAGATCTGAATTTAAAGTCACTCCCAGCTGTTCACCCCTCACACTGGGTCCCAGGAGAACATGGTCTATGTCTGTCTGTTCCCCCTTCCCAGGATGACTCTACTACGAGAGGAGCGCAGCAACCAAGCCTCCCACACCACCCTGCTTCCAGAATCCCCACTGGTACATACGTTGTCAAGGCCAAAGCTCTGTAGGTCGTGGACTAGGAGAGAAGAGGGGGTTGCTGTTACATGGGGCAATACCAAGCTCCTGGCTTCCTCAGGGCCTTTGCTCAGGCCTCCTGCCCATTGCCCTCTGCTGTGTAACACACTTCCTCCCTAGACTCTTCTTCCACCCCTCATGCGCCATCCAGCCTTGCACCTCCTGCTGTGCCTGAGGGCAACTAGAAATGGTTTGCCTTGGGCCTGGGTTTCTATCTCTACACCAGCCTCAAACGCGTATCACTGGGTTGGTTGGTCCCTTTACTGGGTTTTCCAGGCTGTAAATTGCAATGGGAGAAGACCATCCATCTTTCTCCCAAGGAGCTGGTGGTGGATTTGAACAGCTAGAAATTCACAGTGTTTGAGTTAACAGCACAACTTGCTGTGGACAATGCAACCAGAACTTCCCTCACTCATTCTAAGCCCATCTACATCTCAGGAAACATCACCCTTGATTTTGGTTTTATTAACTAAAGTTGAACCCCAGTGAGGTAGGGTCTGAGCCTCCTATACGTGTTCTTTCCTTGACTCATCTGCCCTCACCTGCAAAGCCCCAGAGGAAGACCCATGGGCGCCCAGAACCTCCTGTCCTGTAATCCCGCTCCCTCCTGCTGCAAGAAAGCC